CGCGCGATACTGTACGGCACTCCCGTTTAAAAAAGTCCTTTAGTCCGATTACTCGAACGTTGCACTCCCGAAGCAAACGCGACGAACCGGCTGCGGTTCGTTCATTCAATTAAATCGGCGGACGAGGGTACGTTAGCTTCCTCGTCTTTAGATTTTTATCCAAGCAGAACGAGAGTTTTGCTTGGGTAAAATCCTCGTACTGGGTACTGGGCCTTCCCACCTCGTCAAGATCGTACCCATGGGAAGCTAAAGGAGTACTTTACTCTGCGGTAATATAAAAGCAGGTAACACAGATTTTTTTTTCGCGCAAATTTGAAGGAGTCGCGACGCCGATTGCCCCCATCCCCCATTCGTTCCGCGTTTCATCACTGCGTTGCAGTCGCGTTAATGGCGATGAAATGTTAGAAGATCTTGACGCGAGATACTATTATACGCGAATCAAGTGGACGGTTAGTAAAGATACGTAGTTAAACAAAACCACAATTAAGATTAAATATCGTACGCACATTACGGTATCGAGCACGTAAATCTCGCGAATGTAAGTAGTGTAAGTACCGTTAAAATGCATGGCATGCTTCATGCTTTGCACAACGATCGAGGAGTTGCGATTACGCGGCACGAAATACACGAGTCACGAAAATAAAAAAAATATTCATGAACGAGCGTTGTATGTTGTATCACGGAGCACAGACACTTCACACCTGTCCGAAATTCATCGGGAGAATGATTGAGTAACATAATCCGCGGGTAACGATAATCCGAGCGTCGACGAAAACAAGTAGCAAGGCCGTCTCGCCGATGGAAATAATCGTCCGCGTGCCGACTTTGAACGTATAATCGTAATAACATACGCTGCTCCGAAATCGGCGGACTCATTCAACGGTCGCGGCATTGCGACTGCCGAGACTAGAGTCCCTCTTTTGATTGGTCCGGCATTTTTCGACAAAGGACGTGAAACAGAAAGAGAAAGAGATATAAGAGAGAAAGAGAAAGCGATATACAAGTAACATACATTCATATCGCTTTCTCTTTCTCTCTTATTTTGCCGAAACTCAAGATGTCGCGACTCTTATTAGAGGGACTCTAGCCGAGACTGCGCCGAGTGCCGCTGTGCAACGTGCCGCGTGCCGCGGCCGCGCGGCCGGCGAGAGCGGCCGAAGGCGCCCGAAGGCCGAACGTGATTCGGCCGGATTCGGGGGCTCTCGGCTCGACTCGCCGCGCAGCCAGCGCGCGCGCAAGTAACAAGTAATACGTTAGTCGTTGAACGTCGGTACGAGTGGCGGGTCGCGGGCGTCGCGGCGAGACGTTGTCGCTCGTGTAATTTTTCTTTCTCGTGAACGAAAAGAAATCCTCCGGTTACAGAGTGTGTGTGTGTGTGTGTGTGTGTGTGTGTTGCAAGCTGAATGTACGCCGAATATTCTGTATTTCGTTTCTTCTCGTGTCGACTGCAACGTCTGCGACGAGTGGGATGGCCGAAATGAACGCCCGTACGTGTCACCCTCCTGCTCCTCCCGGCTGTGATTTGACGGGTCTCCTGCAATGTGCCGTGATCGGTAAGTGAATTGTGCATGAGAGACGAATGATTCGAAACGCGATACATCCGAATCTTTCATAGAATTGTTGTCCCGCGTGTCGCAGTGAGACGATAACCTCGGAATTCGTGTGTCGCGTGTCGCGTGTCTCTTATTGCCTCCGTTTCGATTTCTACTTTGAATGAGTGAATCGCGTGGAAAGACGCTTCGGTGAATAGCTCGAACCTCTCATTAAGCACGGGAATTAATAATCTATTGAGTAATTAAAGAGAATGTTCGCGCGTTTGGCGTTCTCACTTTGCCTGTCGCGATCGCGAACGATCGCGAACGAGGGAGCGAGCTTGCTCCAAAATGCGTATGACAAACGTGCGCGCCGTACGTATGCGAATACAATTCCGTTTTTCGTTCAAAAACAGACACGTAATTTGCTCGTTCACGTAATTCGTTGTTTACAAATTTATTTGTATGTGCTCCTAATCTAATTTTGTAGAAAATTAACATGTTAAATTGTATCGTTTGTAAAAATTTCGTCGCGATCGTTCTTGCAGCGTGTATATATATAGATATATATGTATATATGGAGGGGTTAAAGCCATAGTGGTGTAAGTCAATTTTTTGACCACTTTTTTTCTTCTTTTTTCAACATATCTGCATGTGTAGACTGCATCTATGAACTTAACTCGATAGGTAAAAAAAAGTGACTTACACTACTATGGCTTTAACCCCTCCATATACACACACACAACAAAATGATGTTTTATCGGCAGTTACTACGTTTACGCGAGCGTTACTTCTGTAGTAACTTACGATAATTCACTCGTTTACGCGGAGTAAATTATCGTAGGTTACTACAAAATCCCGTTTACGCGAAAAAAAAATCTCGTTTACGTGAAGGAATTATCGTAAGTTACACTACAGAAAAATAACGCTCGCGTAAACGTTGTAAGTGTCGGAAAATAAACGTGGCTACGTAGTACCAATTTCAAAAATGAATGTACTGACGGTAGCGTAAGGGGCTTTCGCCGGGATGGCCTTTGACGGCTAGTCCCCTCGAAAAATAGTGGCGGTGCGTGTGTTAGTGCGTATGTATTACCTGGCGGGCATGTGTTAGTATTTTCACGGAGTTATTAGCGCGTTCCAGATGAGTATAAATATCTGTGGGAAAAACAGATCTGAAATTTGCCACATATTTGATACGTATTATTCTCCACATTTCCCATATTCTTCACGTCGGTGATTGATTGAGTCTTTTGAATATACTTTTGCATTATACTTTTTGCAAGTCTGGACAGATCTTTAATTCCATTGCTTTAAAAGATCTACTTATTTTACATATATGCGCCAAAACTTTAGAGATTCACACTTATTTAGAGTAAAACGATATCGATGATGAAGTAAATGATATCTGATTTACAAGTAAAAAATATATATGATTGATATCAAAGACAAAATTTGTAAAATTACTCTTATATATTATTTATAAAATGTGACAAGATCCGTGATTTTTCCGTGATTTTTCAAGAAAGATAGAAAAAACGAACAACGATCGATTTAATGTATCGGACACAAAATTAATTGCCCTTTAAATCAGATTAATTTTGTTAATTTATTAATAGATTTAACAACATAAAAATTTCGAATAGCCACATAGTTTTTATTAAAAAAAAAAGTAAAGTTGAATTGAATCTCAAGTTTTAGAAAGTTTTTCTATTGTCTTCATTTAAAAATGTATCGCTTTATTTTTAATTATTATTTTTAATGTTTATCGGGGTATGGAATGACACACACATAAGTTGCGTTGAAATTTATTAAATATATTCAATAAATGCATCACAAAATATTACATATTGTACAACATTTCTTGTCGATTCTTTAAAATATCAATTACACATATCACACGGGTGTTCAGATATTAGCAGTACCTTCTTCACGATAAGTGAAGAAGAGCTCAGAAGATTGGCCACTAAGCATACTTTACATTATAAAATCTTTTAGATATTACAATGGAAGACTATACATCAGGTGCGCTTTTTTAAAATTTTTGAACTTACACTTACATGTCTTACCTTAATTGTGCGAATCAAAAATAATTAATGTATTAAATACAACACGAAAAGGACGGTTATTTGAAATTGCATGTGCTGTCAAATGCATAATTTTGTACATTACAAAGAATTAATGATTTTATCGTTCATCTCAAAGCTCGTTTCTGTATTTGCAATGGATAGATTATGCATTTGATTGCACATTTCATTACGGTTTATTTAACCCTCCGTCTGTACACGTGGGTTTACGGCGTCCGAACCAAATTAATATCAGCAAAATTAATATTGTAACTGTAAAACTTGCAAGCCTGCCAGAAAATATTAGATAAATGATGTTTATTAAAATGATTTTAAAATCGTCAACTACAATGTAGACAGTTTTATGAATTTTTTTAGATTAAAAAAAAATACTTAAACATCAGACGTGACAGACTTACGTATACACTCCGAGGATGCCAAAAGAACGGAGGGTTAATGTATTGTATCGATAAAACTTCATATATTATGATTATTATTATATTACTTTGTTATATTAGCAGCAGTAACTTCCAGAGACTTTTAACATTTTATCAACAACAGGCACGATTCGTAATAATATTATAAAAAATTAACATTTGCTATAAATATAATATAAATGTCACATTTCCTCTTATCTTATTTATTATATATTTATAGTCTTGTTATTATATATTAAATATTATAATTGCATAAAGGAGATGGAATGTAATAGAGTTTTATGCTTTGTTATATTAATATAGCTTTCTGTAATATGTTTTCTGTAACACTAAGATCTTCTGTATTTTACATGGAGTCATACAATTCTCGTGTATTGCAATTTTATTGTGAGGAAACGTCTTTCCTCTACAGGTACATATTAAATCTTAAATTATAGACGATTGAAAAATGTAAAGATTTAATTATATATATAGAAGAATTTAGTATATATCTCAAAGTATTTGAATTTTCTTTATATGAACAATTTTTTTGATAATTTTTCTAACTGTAAACATATTTGTTTACTTGCGTGCATTGACAGAGATTTTGAATCATTAATTGATATATAACCAATAATAAAGTTTAATTAAATTTTGTTAGGTAATTAAGCATATTAAACTTTGAGGATGTGACGCAATGTTTATTAAGTAGTAATGCCTGCTATACTTGAACAAAATAAGCTATATTTGTTAAACAATAAAAAGTAAACTATAATTATTTATACTTCACTTTTATGAAGTTGATATACTATTTTTAGAATTTTGATAAATAGAATTCTGGCCGAAATTTTAAAGTTCCTGATATGTTAAAAAAATAATTTTATTATGTTAATACTTAAAATAAATAAAAACAAAACTAATTTTTTACAAAATTTGACAAATCTTACATAAGATAAACACATAATTAATCTTCATTATATTAAGATATTCTGTTAATATATATAATACCTTATATTTAAAAATATATATATTATTTGAGGTATTAGGAATTATTGCATCTAAAATGTTATGTTGTTATTATTTAAATTAGACATAAGTCGCTTGTCGATAAAAATTCGACCAGTAGTTGTCATGAGGCAATAACAAATAGGTAGAAAAATTTGTCTATATATATATATATATGTCAAAGTCATAAAAAATCCATTTATCCTTTCTTTGTTTCTTAATCCTTAGTACAAAATCCGTATGGAAATAAAACAAAAAAAACCACTTTTTACAACACACCTTGTTTGTGTAAAAATAAAAATATCGAAAATTTTTATTACTAATTTGTGTTCAATTGCAATGAATTTTCAAAGACATTTATTCACCATAGCGCAAACTTACGTCCACAACGCAGTCGGCATCATTCCTTCTACTGTCGCAGCCGCAGGTTTTAAATCTTCATTGCATAAGAAATTTAATGGCAAGTTGACCAAGTGACCCTTAAAAAAAAGAACACCCGTTTGATTTAAACATTAAAATGATGAAGCTATATGCACAATTATTTAAAGCGCTCGACACATACCTTTATATTCTCTACCATTTCTTGCGCTAGTAATGGGTCAGATATAGAGAGAGGTACTTTTTCTTGAAATTGCTTCAATATAGCGAAATTGACTACTTTATCGGTGGGAACACAATGAAATACTTCTTCATATATTTCCGTATTTCGTTCGCTTCTAGCGCACCACACGTCCTTGTAGAACGATTTTATAATGGCGTCATCGATATTAATGTCTTCTTTAGTATTCAATAATCCCAGATGTTCGCGGAATAATTTTTTTCTCAAGGAAGAAGCAAATTTACCACAAAGAAAAGGTATATCATTCATGCGGCCATCTTCAAACTCCTGGTCCTGTTTTGAAAATATTACAGTTTTTATTGATTTAAATTGATAAAAAAAATACAGAATCATAATAAAACCGAGGATCCACGAAATAATACAATAATGTAATATAAGTAAAAGACATCACATATAATATACAAATTATAAGTTTGAATATTCTGTGTGTGATGTGAATAAAAAACTATTCTGTTCACGTATAATTTTACATAAAATTAATAAGACAATCGTAAGATATAATTAACTTCCTTATATGCTACATGTAGGAATAACATATTTTCATCATCATTTAGAGAAAAAGGAATAATTATTTAAATGATAACTATTTAAAGTTTATTTATCATTGATAAATGTTGCATTAATTACAACAGTATTGAAGATTGTAGGCATAACTTGGCCCAATATAATAAATATACTCACATGAATTATTACGGCTATTTCGCTGTCCCTTGTAGCAACCATACTTCTGTCATTTATGTTAGCTGACCCGCAGATTACTGTGTTGTCATCTATTATCATTAGTTTACTATGAACATAGATAAGCTCGGTTACCATCGTGCCATTTAACATAGAATGAGTCCTCAATCCATGGAACGTGATGTACTCGCTGGGATCTTCTATACCTGCCTCCAACAGCTGATTTAGAATAGCATCCTTTCCCCTGTTGTTTGGTCAAATAGGAAACAAAATTTACGCATGACGCTTTCTTCTCAATTTGTACTTAGTTGAATGATACGATACCTCGATATAGAATTATAATTCCAATGTGTTATCGCTCGTAATGCCTTTCCGCTGGGTCCTCCAACTTCTCCTTCAAAGCCGGGCAACAACGGCATTACTACAAATACCCTGAACACCGCGCCTTCTCTGTGCGCTCTCAGGATTCTTTTCAATAATGTCTCGCCGATTTGATTCTTCACGAGACCTTTGTCCATGGAGGCAAGCGTTATGAAAAATTGATTTTCTATGTATATATACCTACAAATTTATTCAGGTTAACGAAATGTCACATAAAAATATGAAATATATATGTATATGTATATACGAAATCCTTACCTTTCTGCTTTACTGATGGCCTGAATGTAAGCTTCCTGTATACTCCGCTCCACAGTCTCTGAATCGAGAAAGCCAGCCGACCAAGAGCTCACCGAACGTAGTACTTGACACTTAACATTGTGTTTGTTTGCCTCTTTCACAAACGGAGCATAGCTCCTGCAGTTTTGATACGATTTCGGTAATAGATAAGGATAACACGGATTCAGATTTGCTTTCTCTAGCTACAACAAGTATATCTCATCAGTGTTCGTCACTTTTGCCTGTGTATTTGAACTTAAGTACATGTGTTATCGAGTACGTTATGTGTACCTTGACGGCATTCCAACGCTGTATAAAATGCCTAGCCACATCTCTAGCGGCAGCGTTTTGCACTAAAACTCCTATGTCGTGCCATGGCATCCTAGGAGTGGTGGTTCTATCGACGAGATCCTGGTACGGTTTCTCAAGATCGTTAAAATCTTTGACAATGAAGTTTGTGTAGTCTTTACCAAGCCACAACTTTGTCGCGGGTTGTAAACTGCAGGCATAATCCACTGCGTCCTCAGATTCCGGTAATGAAAGTTTACTAAATTATGGAAAAATTGTATGTGTTTAAATAGAGAATGAAATATAAAGTAATGACGATATTGAATAGGAATAAGATTCGTACTTCTCTGCGACATCATCGGCGTCCATTTCATGAGAAGTATATACCATATTAATTAATTCCTGTCTCTTCACTTTAACGGTGTTCTTCATTTTATCGACGGTTGTTTTGGCGACATCAAACAGATTCTTCTTGTGCAGTTCGGGAGTGTTACACTTGACACCATCTCCCTTTTCTTGCAGCATAAAAAGTGAATTATCCGTTGACAATGTTGACAATACTAAATTCTTTTTTGTCTTTTCGTCCATCATCGGTCTTCAAAAATAAATCAATTATGTTTACATTCTTAATTTTAGTTTATATTTAACATTGACAGTACTTACAATAAAGGCATAGATCTGGTGGTCGCCATAGCTATAGTATTTGTCGCTATTGCTAATGGTAACAGAACATGTCTGTCTATGCAGCCTAATACCTTTTTACTGCTAGTATTAGTCAGCTTGTCTCTCGAGGGAATGTAGATACTTGATTGATGAATGGATTCTATAATCAACGTATCCTTAGTTAGTGATGTAAAGAATAAATTCTAAAAAGGTTTATACGATATTTACCTAAATCTGTTAATCTGTGTTCACTGTTGTCCCATCTACCGTAACATAAATCAATGCCACCGAGAAATGCTAGAGATTGATCAATAACTACGATCTTTTCGTGATGAGCCCAAAGAAGCACGCCTGCTCTCGCATGATCGGGATGTCTCAATACCTTTATATTCTCAGGACATTGTTCTACAAGTCTCTGTTTGCTGTAGTAACTGTTTATGCCTAAAGCGACTTCAATTTCTTTGTATATCAATATGAATATTTTGACACCTTGAACCTATACAAGAAAATATTTATATAATAAAGACATTCTTGTATTCATTAAATAGTCTTAAATAACAATTTCTCGTTACGATTAATCGATTACATTTATTATCATTTTAAATTAAATGCAACATTTGAATTTGAAAAAAAAAATGTTATCAACTCACTGCTTTTCTTCGTAAAATTTTATCCAGTCGCCAATAATCTCCACCGGGCATTGGTCTTTTCATATGAATTTCTGGTGAAAGCCACCAATCCGCGATAAAAATTTCTTCCTTGGCATTTTCCAATGCATCGGCCACAGCAGACATGTAATCGGCTCCATCCACGAACCAAGTCGCGGATATGTAAGGACGATATGGAGCAAACGAGTTATGTGGATTTGTTTGTATAAAATCTTTGCCTGCACACCAATATTAAATTAATTAGACACAAAACAAATGTACATTATACATTATAATTTCTGAAATCTTACCTTCCCTATTGCTAACTTCTTGTATAAACTCCATCCATTCCTTAGCCTTTCGTTTTGTCCAACACTTGATGACTATATGTCTACTCAGATTCGAAATCTGCATGCCGCTTCGTGAACCCGTAGTATATACGCCAAGGCTGATCCCAAAACCATTATCCATCAAAATAACGGATTTTATTCTACCATCTTCAGGATTAAGATATGCAACGAAGGTATCCTTAACAACAAGATGCCTTTTCTGCCATTTGCCACAAAGAGAGGTGCTGAGATAATTGCACTTGATGCAGAGCCCGCACTCCAACAAGCCAAGGAAATTGCATCTCGTTTTAGCGCCTGATCCAGTCCGTTTCAGAATCGTACCTTCTTTTCCTTTCATCCCTAAGTCACCCACAAAGGACAAGGGTGAAACGTCCAAAAAATTTATCTGTAAACAAATGACGACGATGTATTCTCTTTACGGTTAATTGTTATTAGTAAAATATATATACTTACAGTTTCGGAATGTCGTCTGTAGATTTCTATGTTAAGTAAGTTACTTAGATAATCCTCTAGTTCCTTTCTCCTCTGACTTAATTGCTCATAAGGCACTAGAATGTCCGGTTTATTAGGAAATCTATAAAAGTGATTATTTTTGATTATTTGATTATATTTTAATTCTTTTTTTTCACCATAGATACAGATCATAATGTATAATTTTCATACCTTGGTAAAACATTTCGTCTGCCTCTTTTCTCGTCCACAGTTCTAAGACTCTTCATACTATTTCTCCTCTCTCTGTGACTTTTTGTAGGGAAAGGTATGTTCAAGCTAGCACGATACAATTTCAATTGATTATGCAGATATTGAATGTGTTTGTATCGCTTTTTCATAGTCCAAACAAAAGGTCCGTGTCTAAACTCTATGGTATATAGATTTGGGTTCAAGGGATGCGTGGTCACACTACGTTCGTTATCTATAATTTTTACGTGCACTTCTTCACCAGGAATAAATACGTTGCGAGTTTGACTTTTGAACTTTGACGATGTGTTGTGTATAACGGTGAAAGGTGTTACACCAAGAGTTTCTAACGATACAAGGAAATAAAGAAACATAAGATTGGTAAAAACTATATAAAATAAAATAAAAGAATATGAATATAAATTAAGAGGGTTTAAATTTTAAGAGTGAATGATAAAAGGATAAGTAAATAAGTTGTAAGAGTAAGTATGTTTATATGCATATAAAATCATTAATAACCGGCAAAATTACAGATCAAACTGAACAATGTTATAAGGTAATAAAGAAACAGGCCATAAGGAATACTCATAACATAACATACTACTCAGAATACAAATTCCTACCTTCGCTATCTGTGCATATCGTTTCTTCTTTACGAACTTGTATCGTCTCCCCATTTTCATCAACCGTTATTTCTAACGAATCAGGTACTCCTAAAGCGTCATCATATTCAGAATCTTGTGACATTGTGCGGGTTATGCCCCTCTCACGAGGGGCAACCTCGTCCAATTCAATAGGCATCTTTGGCAAGTTTCCTGCAAACAGTTTTCATATTTTAATTTTTACATTGCACACCAAATATAAACACACCTTCCAGTCATTAAAGTAAGGAAGGGATAACAAATATGGTCTTGATTACTCAAAGCATAGTACCAGACGTTAGAAGTAGCTCCGGTCAACTAAAGAAAGATTTAATATAAAAAAAAGATAGTAAAATATCTTCACGTATATATCGTCACGTTGATAAAATCCCAGATAACAATCATATTGCAAAAGTAGCAGATAAGAGAATACAGAAAGTACTAGAGAAAGTTCCTCTTTTTCTCTGAAACTACTTTCGCAACGATGTTTATTTGGAAAAGAAGCCACATATGTAGATAATAAACGCTTATTGTTCTATTTCTAAAAAAAAGTAATATTCACCTCGCTTTACGCAGGGCGTAGTTCTAGCCTAAAAATATCCCGCCTATCGAGCATCATCGACGGACGCGTATCCCTCTCAGACACCCGCGCAACAATGCATCGCCGTCTCGAGAGTGTAATCAAGCGACGATTATCGCGATCGCCGTTGGCTGGGTTACACTGTATTACGCGATGATCCGACGCGGCGCGACACGAGTTTACTCATCGCGATGACCGCATGGCCGCGACCACTACTCCACTCCACGTCCACAGCTCCACACTACTCCGTATGTCATGCAGTCCGTATACTGTCACTGAGCGAATTACGCTCCTTGACTGGAGATTTGTCTCAGGTGAGACAAATGTATATTCGAAACAAAGAAAAGGCAGAAAAAGGAAAAACGAATTATAGATAGAGAAAAAGCGCGGCCAAGAACGGCAAAATCGGTTTTACGTTTCATTTCCGCGCGAGAGACGTGAACAAATATTCATCCTTATGTTAAATCTGAAGATATGTAATGAATTTTCACGCGTGGCATTGTGAGATCTTCATTAAATTTCTTTTTTAATTATTTTTTTCTTCTTTTTTTTTTCTTTTTCTTTACCTTCTTTTTCTTCTATTGTCTTCTTAATTTTGGATTGCATTGTGGATTTTCTTATACAACACCACTTATCTAGTTAAATCAGGTCTAGATTAATTGCAATTAGCTCATTATAGATTTCCAATTCTTATGTGTTTAAATTAAAAAAGAAATTCAAAATTACCCGATAGTTTTCGACATTCGATTGAAAAGATACCTGTGCAAAACTACGTCGGTAAGGCGGTTGTTCTTTTTTATGTGAGACAGGAAAGAATGCACTCTTCCCCGATTGAAAAACCGTCTCGAGTCATAATCAATTCCTTTTGTATTTTAATGAATGTTTCGCGATTGTCCTAGGAAGAATTTGCGCTTTCGCTTCGGTCTGAATGAAAAGAAGGACCGTCACACCGATTAGTCAAAGTATCGAGAAATCGTTCGACTTTCCACTTCCTTTAACATTGCCGTTTTCAGCCAGAAGCGGAGTTATACCTCGTCGAACTAATATCCAATATTAGCGCGAACGGGCACATCGCGAAAGTAATTGGATCGCGCGTGTCATTTTCTCTTATGTTTTAACCGACTTTCTGTGAAATATCGGCGATCACGCGTTATCGACCCCCATAATGATCCACTTCTCGACATGAATGTCAAGGAGAAAGCGACGCGCGACGTGACGTGATGTGTTGCAAGATTTTCTATCAGTTTCAGTTTTTATCATATACCTTTGTATTAGTATTTAATTATTCGCATATTAATCGCATACGTTTATCTTATCGTGACGAGTATAGGTATGTTCGAATCAGAGTTAAAAGGCCTGTAATAGCTTTAACACTTAAATTTTTACCCTTCGTTTTTTCTTCTCCTTTCTTCTCCTTATGGATCATATTTTATTTCTCTATTTTATTTCAGTCATAAAAAGATGAGAAACAAGCGAAAAATTATTTTCCTTCAAAAATCTTAAAGATTCACAAATATAAATTTTTTTCTTCTTTGATATTATATGGAACTCTTATTTAACTTCTATGATCACAATTGTACTTACTAGAAGATATTTATAGAGTATGCGAGGGATACTTAATCGAATAAAAATTTCAAGTACATAATTAAACACGCGCAACGTATAACGTCATATTTTTTATAGAAATTCGTACGATTTTATCTTGTAAAAAAATAATTATGCTTTAAGAGCGATTAGTTCACTGATTTAATTATATACAAAATTTAAATTTATTGAAATATTGCTATCTGCAACGTATTTTGTAAAAGCATATTTTCCAAATCAGTTCTAAAAGAAGAAGCATCTTGTTTTTCTAACGATATTATAACGTGAAAGGAAGAAACTATTTCAATAAAATTATTCAGGAGATATATCGCGAAACGCGAGGATATTATGTAGTTCAAAGAGGAAATGTGCAATGTTCTTTTACGCCTTTCTATAAATATTTAATAAGCGAGTCAATCATTCGGAGTGTATTTTATAATTCCTCGATTTTATACAAGTTAAAATCCTTGAAGATATATCTATAGTCGATATCCTTGGGACATTACATTTCGCTGTACAGGTATTTCGTAGACCACTCTTTCGACATTGACTGTTTCATATTATCTCTGTTCGAATAACTCGATCAATGCATAATTAATCACTTATTGCATGCGCCCCTTTTTATAAAACGCGGTTTGTGAACCTATTTAAATAATGCCTTACACTCCACACGTGCATGTACTTTGAGTTAGCATTTTACATCCGGATTGCATGGAAAGTAAAAAGTTGCCGCCAGAATAACAGCCGACTTTATTCTGTCATATTATTAATTGCGAAATAAAATATTTATGTTTATGACTCGCATAAATATTATTCTAAATTTTATTCCTCGCTTAATTATTGC